CCTTCAGCTAATCCTTGGAACAAAGAGTAAGCCACATTTGGTTGACACCCTTGTGATGGCCAATTTGGGTTATTGGCAAATGAAAGTCTCTCCTGGGGTTTGGTACCTGCAACTTGCACCAGGCAGAAGTTCTGAGCTTTATGTTCTCAGCGAAAACAGTGACCAAAATCATCAAAAATCTTTATCAAAGCGTATTACCATAGATGATTTACGGGGTAAGGTAGTCCACCTGGAAGTAATGAAGAGGAAAGGAAAGGAGCATGAAAAGTTGCTGGTTGTTGCTGATGATAACGACCGTTTAACAGAGAAGAAAAAGGTAAAAATCAGTCTTTATTTGCTTGGAATATTTTGTGCGGAAAAATTGTTAGGATAGATATATTTTATACTTACAAATGCCTTTATGATCTTACTTCCATTTTCTATATCAACAGGGAAATCATAATAGCTGGAACTCTAACTTTTTCAAATGGGCTTCTGGTTTTATTGGGGGTAGCGAGCAATCAAAAAAGGATGCAAGCACTTTAGCGGTTTGTTTCACCTGCACCTCACTAAAAAACACATGTTTTGGGTTTTTATTTCCATAATTTACATTTACTTTTGACATAATTTAAGCTGTTAACAGACAAAAAATGTCAGTAAAAGTGAGGATGAGGTCCAAAATTTTTAAAATAGAAACTAACAAATGTTTTCATATGCCAAACAGAGCGAGACGTGATGATTTTGAATGGTGGACCTACTTGTGCTGTGCATTAGTGTATCAGTTCTTCTAAGATTGCTTCGATAGTTTTGTATTGTTTCCAATCTAGTGTTAGTGGTTGCCTCAAGTGTCTCAAGTTTAGCGTTTAATTCAGAGTTAATCACTATTGCCGAAATTGAATTGCTTTTAAAAATGGTCTGGTTGAGGGAAGAAAAGGAAGCAGAGGCTAAAACAGAATAGAAGGTACAAGGTTTACTGGTAGCTGGCTACATGGGGCTTCACATGCCAGCTTCCACTCACCAGATGGTGATTGGAGGTGCTGATCTCATATTGGAGGCTGGTTTAGGATGCGGTGGTGCAGACGTGCAGATTCACAAGAGGCAGCCGCTGTAGGAGCTTGTGGCAGTTTTCGGTGAAGTTTCAACGCAGGGCCTTGGAGGTCGGCAATCGGGACCTTCTGGAGCTAGTGATGGTGGCACTGTTGACCACCTTCGGCAGGTTGCTGGAGAATAGTGCTAGCGGCTGTTTTAGGGTTTCTGGACATTTTTTAAGTGATTTGTTTCTTCAGAGGGGTATGAGGTTATTTTGAGTGTACGGTTGGAGAATTTGGGTGTAGAATTCTTTCAGCTTTGATACCAAATTAATATAGGACAAATTAGGGTTAATTTGTTTGCTAAGAATTTGGGAGAAAACCTAAATATCACACCTAAAGTTCATTGGTCTCACACGTAAGAGTTGATTGAGTCACACAATCAATTATAAAAATTTTCAAAATTATTATTGAATGTTGAATTATCAATAAGTGAAATTACAAAATTATTTAAATAATCTCTAAATAATTTTTCCTGAATAGAATTAAATTAGAAAATAGTAAAATAGTAGAATTGATAATATTAATACTAATACAAATAGATAGGAATAATAATAATAATAATAATGAGCTCTTAACTCTTAAGACTCTTAAATGATAAGTAAATTTCTTAAATAAATTCCTATTGTGACTATGCGACATTATGGAGCTCCCCGAAACACCCTAGCAATGGGTATGTAGCGTGGTTGGGAATTTTGTGAGGTGGTCAAAAAAGAACTTGCTTGTGTATAGTCCTGATGGCCCGAGGGACCAAATTCTAATATCAGAATGAGGAGACATGGATTTTCTTCAATTGGCTCAAAAGGATTTCAATATCATGAGGCTCTCTCCGACATGTTATCAGTGAAATAGAAATTCCAAGCTGCTTATTCTATATTGGAAGCCAAAGAAGGAAACAAGGGTGTTATGTCTAGTTGATAGGTAAAATATTTGGAGAAGTTGGGTTGCCAAAGGTTGATCTCCAAACTAGTATCCTCCAAAAACATCACTCTAATGCCATCTCCCACTTGAACTCGGGTTTGGCGTGTGAACAATGAAGGGCCTTCAAGAGATGGCTTTCAAAAGACTATTTTGGGTAGCGGACCTTCGTGCTTAAGACATCCCATCTGTCCTCTCCTCTACTATGAATACTTTTCATCACCCTGTGCCATAGTGTTTGGTTTTGTGGGAAGCACCAAAGCCATTTTGCTATTAGTTATAAGTTTTTTTATCTGAGATCTCAATATCCAATTTCTTTGAACTCTTGGACTGGCAATATTCCTCTCAACTTACTAGATGATCCCAATCCCCGATCAGAGAAACCTTTCTCATGCACCCTTTTATTATCTCCACTATCATAATTT